TAGACATGGAAAACAAACGAGATTTAGTTCTATTCAGCACTATGTTCAAAGTTTTAAATATTAAAATATTCACGCGCTTGTTGACAGTGTGTACATAGAGACCTTGCAGCCAGAAACGTTCTTCTCGATGAGAACTATGTGGCTAAGGTAACAGACTTTGGACTATCACGAGATGTGTATGAGGCAGGGGTGTATCAAGTCAATGCACAGGTAAACACCAATCTACCTTAATTCAGTAATTAGTAATCAGTTCTGTTCTGCTATTTTCTAGCTATAGCTAGTCAACGGGGACGTATACTACTCCGTATTAAAGTTCTGGAGAAGTAATCCTTTAAAAACTTTTCTGTCTTTTGTGGACTTTATGGCTTGATGTTTATCAACTTTCAGCAATTTTTCTATTTTGATCCAAGGATCTCTTACATGTTTCTTTGTTGGTTTGATAAATAATAAATTTTTTCGTTAGATTCGAGTTTCCACGTCTGCAGATATGTGCGATATATTTTAAATATTATAATTAAAATGTACTAATTTAAGGATTYTACTTTGAGTACTGCAGCAACCTTTGACTACCTGATATATACTACTCCTCTAAATATATTAGCTATGTACTACACAATAAATAAGCATGATAAGTGATGATTTCAGAGTAAGATGCCTTTGAAATGGATGGCCGTCGAATCATTAGAATCCATGGAATTTACAACACAGAGCGATGTGTAAGTTACGATTTTCAATGCAATGATTCCTTGGTAGACTGGCAAATGAAACAAAAAAACGCGCCTGATTTTGCGTTTGAACGCATTTGAAAAATATAACGAAAAAACGTGTTTGCGTTTGCGTTTGAACGCGTTTACATTCGTTTGAAGGCGTTTACATTCGTTTGAAGGCGTTTGAAAAATAAAACAAAAAACGCGTTTGCGCATTCGTTTGAACGCGTTTTCGTTTTGATAAACGCGTTTGCTTTTTCCATTTATTGTTTTAAGTGTTATAGTGATGATCATTGTTATTCTAGATGGTCATTTGCTGTGCTTATCTGGGAGATCGAAACTGCAGGTACTGTGTATGCCTTAGTGGATA